TTTGTTGGCTGGCTCCTGGCCTTCAGGTGGCGTGAGAGATCCTGCTTTGCCACAGCCTACCACATCCTGGCAGCTCTGCAAATGCCTTCCTTGCAGCTGGTTGGGCATGTGACCCCTGCCGGCTTCAGGAACCAGGTGCTCTTTTCTTGAGGAGGAGCTAAAGGAGAGGGGTGAGCTTCCTGCAGCATTAGGGCATAAAAACAAAAGCTCCTTTTCCTCCAGCCACAGTCGGGCTTGGCTCTGTCGACTGTGGCAGCTGAGCCCAGTGGCCTGCATTCAGGGAGGAGCTCCACGGCCTGGAGCAGGAACCTGAAGGTGCTCGGGAGGGAGGAGTTTTCACCCACCCAGGAAACACTTGTTCTCCCAGCAGCAACCAGTCAGATCTTTATCTGCGCCCAGCCCAGGGGTGCACCATCAGGCCTGTGTCATTTCCCTGGATGGGGGCTATAATGGCAACATTGTGCTGAGTCGAACAAGAGGGGTTTTCATCCAGTGACCAGCATCAGGCAGACTCATGAACAAGGGGCTGCAGGGCTCACCCTGCACAAAGCAGCATGGGAGAGGGGCCCTAGTCATGGAGAAGCTGCATGCCCAACGCAGTGTGCACAGGGCCAGGAAGCACAAAGGTATTTCTCACCCAATGCCTCATCGCAAATTAACTTCCCTCTGAAAACAAGTAAAGCAGTCCCAGAGGATAAATAGGACTCCCCAAAACACATGCATTCGTAGAAGGTAATAATGGCAGGCCCCCACGGGTCCTGACTTTTATTCACCGACTCACTGCATTTATTCACTGACTTACTCCCCAAATAAGTATTACCACTTACGAGGTGTCTGGCACATGCTGGCTGCTAGCTATCTAGCAATGAGTAAGACACAGCATTTGCAATCTGAGGCCCAGGAGGAGTAAGCAGAACACTAAATAGTAAGTTATGTATCGATGACCCAGTGGGAGCCAATTCAAGAATCCAGATCTGAGCCTCACTGATTTGTTTTCCTTACTTTTCCTGGAGTCTCCTGAGATCTCTGCAAGCTCAGTAAAGAAGGTACCCCAAAAAACCACAAGGAATTTGGACTGTCCACTAAGGGCAAAAGGCAGTTATTTTTAAAGAGAAAGAGACATGATCTGGTGGGGATTATGGCATGGCCCTCTGGTGGCCAGGGTGGAAGCAGTCTAGAGACAAAGTGACAGGTTAGAAGTTAGAATATGTGTCTCCCTGGGACGAAAAGCCCTCAGCCCTTCATTTTCTCTTTCCCAGGGTGTCCCAGTTCCACCTGATAAGCTAAGAATAAGACTGGGGAGTATCATTTGTTTTCACAGGACTGGAGTACAAGGGAGTTAAAAGCTTTCTTCCTGGTATTGTTCACTGGGACTGAATTGAGTATCTTTTTACAGAGCTGGAGCTCTCCGCACAGAATGCTTTAGACAGGCACCAGGCAAATGGTAGTGAGCAAGAAGGAGAGGAAGATAGGAGGAAGATCCTAAAAATCCTTGCCAGAGAGATTCAGTGCAATACAGAAACAAAAAGAGGAAGAGAAAACCAGACATCAACACCTCCGCCCTCCATTCCCATCCTCATCCCAAAGCTGCTTCTCTGTAGCCCATGAGCCAGCCACCCCAAACTGCTCTGAGACACATTAGGGCATTTTCTATCTCTGTGTCTTTGCTCTCCGTGTTTTCTTTGCTTATAATGTTATCTCCTCACTGTTTGTTCAGATCCTATGCAGCTCAGATGCCACCTTGTCCAAATATCTGTTATCCACATCTGTCTTCTCCATGATCAGTACAAAATTCTTGTCTTGATGGACTCCAAGAGCATTTTCTTTCTCTGGTACTTTTTACATAATAATTTTAATTAACTAATTAGTCATAAAATTATTTCGTATGTATCTATCTCCTCTACTAGCGTGCAGATTCCTTGAGAATAGGGATAATTCCCACTTTGTGTTTGTTCTCCCAACAGGAACTTACACCAAGTAGAACAAGTATCGCCTAAGTCCGTTGATAGACAGTGGGGTAGTTAGTTTTTATGGTGAATATAATTCTCATTTCATTACAGGGGGGAAAAAAATATATATATATACATATACACACACACACACATACATACACATATACAAACACACATACATACATACATACAGAGAGAGAGAGTTATTTCTTGTCCAAAACCCACAAATAACTTCCTCAACTATGTGTTACCTAACAACGCTGTAGTGAATATGGTCAACATTGCCACCTAGTGGAAATTATGGGTAATTAACTCTCTAAAACACTTCTGCCTTCCCAGCAACTCGTTTTTGTTAATTCTCAGAACTGTGCACGGACTGTACTCTTCCACTTTTATATTGTTCCCAAACACAGATTAGTTCATTCCACTCCATAAATTATTCCATGTACAGGTATAAATTCTCCTTAGCCCTTCTGACTTTTCTGTTTCAATTCTCTGAATAAATCTCCAAAGTCCTTGAAAATTTCTGAAAGTTCTCTTTAAAATCTCTACAAAAGCTTCCATCTGTTTTTGCAATAGTAATATTTCATACTGTTACTTAAAAATTAGTCCCAATTTTAAAAAATTAGTCTAAATAATGGGGCCAGCAGGTGGTGTAGTAGTTACACCACTGGACTCCCACAGGGGGGGTACAGTTCAAGTCCCAGACCCAGTGGCTTGGAAATCACATTGGGCACATGTGCATGCATGCCCAAGATCCCAGGAGGAGAATAAAGGAGAAGGGATTGCAACATGACTACGCCACTGTGTGTGTGTGTGGGGGGGGGACAGATTTCTTGCTTTCCCTCTCACCATCTCTGTCTGTATCTCTCTCTCTCTCATGCAAACGCATACACCCTAGAGCAAAAACCCTTAATTAGTTCCAATAAGATATCACAGTTTTAGGGACCAGCAGATGGTGTAATGGCTGCATCGCTGGACTCCCATGTAGTCAACACAGTTCGAGTCCCAGACTGGGTGGCTTAAACTCACTCCAGGCACATGTGCGTGCGTGCCCAAGACCTCGAGGGGAGAAGAGACGGTATTGTGGTGTGGCCATCTCCCCGGGGATGAGTTCTCGCTTTCTGTCTCTGTCTCTGTGTTTCTCGTGAGCACATGTGCCCTATAGCAAAAACCTCTCAAAAAAAAAAAAAGATATCACAGTTTTAAAATAATTATTGGCCTAGCCTGGGAGCTTAACTACAGTTTATACCCTGATTTTCAAGTGTTTCAAACAATGAATTCTGGGACTTATTCCATTTATAAATTGTTGGTTGGCTGTCTTAGAGTTTAAATTGACCTTTTCAAATTAGAAAAGTGGACAGGAGCAAAGAGGAACTCAGAAAATAAGGGGTTTTTTTGTTGTTGTTTTTGTTTTTTGAGAGGTTTTTGCTATAGGGCGCGTGCGCTCGCCAAAGACAGAGAGAGACAGAGACAGAAAGCGAGAAGTCATCTCCCCTAGGGTGGATGGCCACACCACAATCCTTTCTCCTCCATTCTCCTCTCGGGATCTTGGGCACACACACACGCATGCGCCCAGCATGAATTTAAGCCACCCGGCCAGGACTCGAACCATGGTCAGCTACATGGGAGTCCAGCGACATAGCCATTACACTAACTGCTGATTCCAACCACTCATATTTTTATAGTTATTTACAGGGGTTTTTTATGTCATCATTTCATGTGCTCTTCCCGCAGCCCTGTGGGATTTTCCATAACAAACAAGATGAGCAAGCAAGCCTCGTAGACTAGACGATACATACTTAGTAAGAGTAGAGCAAGAGCTTACACAAGTTTCAGACTGAAATCCCATTGTTTTTCCACTACACCACATCCCCTGAGTGCTCACACACACACTTAAACCAAGCAATTTTACAAAAGCAGTGTTAATTTCAGATTGCCCGTAAAAGCAATGGAAAAATATATTCCCAGTCCAGGAAAGTACAAGATGCTCTTTCCCGGGCCCTTTTTTGCATTGTGCCTTTGTACAAGGTGTTCCCAATGCCAGAATATTCTAAGTAAAGGAGTGGCTTAGTCAAAACTGAGAGTCTTGGCCTGACCCTTATCAAGCAGGAACAATGTCTAGGAGGACAGTCAGGCCTGGATTTCATTTGAGCAAGCATCTTCGACTTCTGATATTGTCTGTGAATGAGTTAGACTTACTTGCACAGTGGTACACTAACAGAATAAAGTTGCCATTTTGCATAGAACTTTAAACTTCAATCCCAGTATATTGGCTACAACAGAATGTTTTCTACCTCCTGTAATTGTCTTGGGAAGAGCACGCTGACATCGCACTGCATGTTGCACACTAAAAATGTTCAGTCCCACAATTTTTATCACGCCGTTTTGGCATTGTTTCGTGTTTTTCACAGGGAGATCCCCCCAAAGTTGGCTGCGTCCCAAGCCATTGTCCACCTTTCAGCAATCCTCTCTGCTTTTCCTTATCCTGCGTGGGTTTCTTTTTGGAGATCTTTGTTTTCTGTGATTTCACCGCTGCTTCGCGCTGTTAGTGATCCTACACCAGCACAGCATGTGTCCTCCGCCTGGCACTCTAGTGCTCAGGAAAAACCCGTCGAATGGAGAAGATAACCCTAAAGCCAGGAAATGGCTGGCAGCTGCAAGGAAAGGAGTTTTGAATCCACGGGAGAAAAACACGTTCTAACTGCAATTCGGGATGGAGTGGGCCTAGAGGTGTGCCATAAGCCCCCACCTCCAGTACAGGGCAAGCAAAGTTGCACACTGCCTGGGTCCGGGCTGGGTGGGCCGCGTGGACCCGGCCAGAGCCAGAGCGTGTGAACTGGGAAGGGTCCTCCAACCCCAGCAGGAGGGCCGCTGAGGGCAGGGCGTGTCCGGGCGTGTGCGGGACACGGGACACCGGCCTGCGGCCCAGGGGGTGAGGCGTGCTCCCGGTCTATTCCGGGAGCGGCTATGAGGGGCGGGCGCGGGCGGGGCGGGGGCGCCGGGCGAGCATCCTGTCGGGGGAGGGGACGTGCAGAGTGCACCGGTTGCAGGGCTAGCCCGAGAGCGCAGCGCGCCTGCTAGGGCCGCCAGCTGCGCCGGAGTCATTGCGCCCAGCCTCGCGCGCCCTGGGGATCCTGGCCGGCGCCATGGACAGAAGCCGGGGTAAGAGGAGCCGCGGTGCTCGCACTTGTTGCTGCTTGGGGACTGAAAGGAAAAACCCCAGCGATCAGAGGCCGGAGAGGAGGAGGAGCAGGGAGAGAGGAGCGCGGTGGGGCGGGAGTTGAGCCGCGGTCTGAGACCGCGCGGGGTAGGGGGACTAGAAGACGCGGGTCTGTGTGTGCAGGTGCCTCCAGCCGCCCAGGCAGCTCGTGGTGTGTCAGTTCCTCCTGTCCCCGGGCTGCGTCGCCTCCTGGGACGAAATGTGGAGTTTTTATACACTCCGATTCTTACTTCATCAAAGATCCCCCACGAGTTTCCGGGAAACAACAAGCTCCTCTAGGGAAGTTGGATGAAAAAAGGTTTGTAGGTACATTCCCAAGACACCCGCGTGTGGAGCCCCTACTGGGCCCCTGGAGAGAAGCCCCAGGAGACCGAAGTTTGCAGCTGCCTGGGCACTGGGAGAAGGCATGCCTGTGGGGGGTGCTGAGGGAGCTTGGCAGCTTGACTGTTCGCTGCAAGCTCTGTGATCTTGGCCCCGTCCCCTCTCCTCTCTGGGCTAGTGACAAGGTTGAGCTAGATGCTCTCAGAGGCCCCTTGCTGCTCTGACTCTCAGGGACCAGTGAGTTTGGCAGAAGTTCCACCGAAGTGGTAAGGATAGAAATTGGGACTGACATGAGCAGGAAGAGTATCGTGGGTTGGGAGTTCATCCAGGGAAGGTCTAGACACGGCATCGGGCATGTGCGTGTCTGTAAAGAAGTGGCGTGCTTGGACATGTGGGCAGTGTCCAAGGCTGGGAATCAGAACACGAGGGTCCTAAGCTGCTCCTCTGGGATCCAAAGCAAATCACAGGTGTGAAGGCACCTGGTAATTTGGCGTGCACTGGCCAACCAGAGAACCACTGCTGTTACTACTGATAATGGAAAACTCCCCTCCCCATAATAACTTTACACTCCTCCCCCTCCACCATTTGCCTAGCTCTCTCAAGACAAGGGGTGAAGATAACTCACTTAGCTTCAAATGCTCCACTTCAGAAGGCTGCTCCTAGAGCACCATTCCCTGAAAGCCTGGCTTCCCAGGAATCGCTGGAAGCCCAGAATACTCACACGCTCTGGCCTTCTCTCCCACTGCAGGCTCTCCTAGCCTGCTTTCCCAAGAATTGTTTCCATCAGAACATTTCTTTATGGCTTAGAAAGTCCATCTCAAAATACAAGTAGAACGGTCATGTGACTGGAGCACAGAAGACCAGTTATCTGTCTAGATCGTCATTTTTCCACCCCAATAAGTAATTACAAACACCTATGAATTAAAACAGACACAACTGTGTTAATGAATCAGAATGCCAGATCTGTAGGTGTTCTTCAGATAAAGCTGAGACTTAAGCAACAGACCTTTCTGGTTGTGCCGCTGTCCCCAGGTAGGCATGCACTCTCTTCTGCTGTCAGGAAGGATTTAAGAAACACAGGTCTTCACTCAACCAGGTAGCCTGCAATGGTAGATGCTGCTGCTTGGCAGGCTGAGGCCACATGAGAGGCTTTGGTTATTCCTGACCTCCCCTAAAGTTGGCATTGTGGCACATACCTGTAGTCCCAGCTACTTGGGAGGCTGAGGCAGGGAGATTGAAATATAGCAAGACCCATCTTAAAGGGGGGGAAAAGAAGTGCAGGTCTCATTTCAACCTTATACCTACCACGTGGGTATAGAACAGTCACACCTAGCACCTTGGAAAGGATTCAGTATTAACAACTGAAATCACCAAGCTTGTACCATGTGCCAGGGACCATGATCAGCCTTGCACATGCCTGTTCTCAGAGCAATCCATGGACGGGGAAATGAGCAGGTACTATCATTAATCCCACTGCACAGGAAGGCACTTGACAGTTTTCTTAGTCTGCTGGGCTGCCATTCACAATAACAGACTGGGTGGCGTCAACAACAGAATTTGTTTGCTCATGGTTCTAGATGCTGTCAGGGTTGGTTTCTCATGAGATCTCCCTTCCTGGCTTGTAGGGCCACCTTCTCTCTGTGTCCCCACATGGCCTCTTCTCTGTGTGCATAGAGAGAGATCTCTGGGATCTCTCCATCTTCTTATATGGACAGCAGTCCTACAAGATTAGGCTCCATTCTTACGACCTCCTTTCACCTTCATTATCTCCTGAAAGGCCCTATCTCTGAATACAATCACATTGGGGGGTAGGATTTCAACAGATGAATTTGGGGGTCAGGAGAATACAACTCATTCCATAAAAGCAGCATTAGGCACTAACAACAATTTACCTGATCATTTCCCATGTGAGACACAGAGCTTGGGCTTGCACCCTGCTCTGTCTGCATCCAAATCCAATCTGAAGCTTATTGTTAACTGCCTCCGTGGTGGCAGGTGACCTGCCCAAGCCCTGGAGCAGGGCCCAGATGCCAGATCTTCATGTTCACGTGTGGTACGCCTCCATTGCACCTCGGACACACTGTTCAGAAGTTCTACAGTGGGACCAGCAGTTAGCGTAAAGGCTATGTCGCTGGACTCCCACATAGTTGACCACGGTTCGTATCCTGGACCTGATGGCTTAAAACTCACGCCGGGCACGTGTGCATGCGTGCCCAAGATCCCGAGAGGAGAATGGAAGAGAAGGGATTGCGGCGTGACCATCTCCCCTGGGGGATGACTTCTCGCTTTCTGTCTTTCTGTCTCTCTCTGTCTGTCTGGCGAGCGCACGCGCCCTATAGCAAAAACCTCTCCCAAAAAAAAGAAGTTCTACAGTGATCGCAGCATGAAAGGCCAGCATCACAGTCACGTGACTCGAGAATGGAAACAAACCTGGGAACTGGGATTGCTCTTCTCACAGAATATGTGTCTTCCTCTGAGTAAATCGAAACTCACATAATGCACTACCAGGCAGAGAAACCACTTTTATTTTTTTAGTTTGCTATAGAGTGCATGCACTAGCCGGAGAGAGAAAGGGAAAGTGAGAAAGCACCCCTCAGGAGGGATGGCCACGCCACAATCCCTTCTCCATTCTCCTCTTGGGATTTTGGGCACATATGCACATGTGCCTGGCACAATTTTTAAGCCACTGGATCCAGGACACAAACTGTGCAGTCGGCCATGTGGGATTCTCCTCTTTAACTGCTACACCACCTGGCTGGCCTGAAACCATTTTTAATGGAATTCCTCCCAGCAGGATTTCCTGATTCATGAATATCATACAAAAAGAATCTGCCACTGGTAAAGGTAAACCCAGTATCTATAAACCCCACTTTTCACTACACAAGTTAATTAACTTTCTATCCTCAAATGAGGATAAAATATGGATATGATAATATTTATATCTTGGGGTTGTAAATATTAAAAGCATGGAAGATGCTTCTAACAACACATGGGATCCACTCAATAGGTGCTACTAATAATTACAATTTTTATCTGTATTAACATAATGTAACTGTTTTCTAGAGCGTCCCTTGCTCCCTCTGTAAGCTGGTCCTACTCTGATATTTTTTAAGTCTCTATTCCAAGTCTGAGCTACACAACCTTGTGTACAACTCAAAGACAGGCACCATGTTGGGACCAGCAGATGGTATAATGGTTATATCCCTTGACTCCCACGTAGTCAATCACGGTTAGACCCTGGGGCTTAAAACTTATGCCGGACACATGTGCATGCATGCCCAAGGTCCCAAGAGGAGAATGAAGGAGAAGGGATTGTGGCATCATGGTCACCTCCAGGAAGTGATTTCTTGCTTTCTCTCTGCCTCTCTCTGTCTCTCCAATGAGCGCACACACCCTCTAGCAAAAAACCTCTCTCTAAAAAAGAAAAAAAAAAAAAAAGATGGGCACTGCGTCATATCTCCTTTGTAGCCCAGGGCTCCTTCATGCTACTTATCTCCTGGAAAAGGATCCCTGACCTTCAATCACTGGATCACCGCCCGACTAACATTTCTGAGTGGCTAATGAGATGCTAAACATATGCCAGCATGTCAGTTTTCTCTTATTTATCCTATCCATTCGTTTCTACTAATTGAGGCTATGGCATCACAATTTTGCTTTCATAAACTTCCCTGTCTTCTTGAAACACCTTTGTAAAGTCCTTGGTTTAAAGTTTCTCTGAGATTTTTTAATGTGCCTTCTTCTGAATATCCAAGGTTATATCGAATCTCAATGGCTCATGTGAAGTGACTGATTTCCCTAAGGTTCTATTAGTTTCTACTATACAACTAGTTCTCTTGCAAACAGTTCAATTCGGTTCAGGATGGGAGTTTCTTTTGATGCACTACATATTTTGAAGGAGATCACATTGTCTATTGGGCAATTCAAGAAATAATCTGATGCTCTGCTTTCCGTTGAATGAGATTCGTATTGTTCAAGAGATAAGGGAGCCCATTCTCTCTATATCTTGTCTTTACTGGACCAGCTTTTAGATCTATATTAGGGAGGCCAGCAGGTGGTGTGGTGCTTCAGGCACTGGACTCCCACATGGCCGACTGTGGTTCGAGTTGCAGACATGGTGGCTTGAAACGGACACTGGAAGCATGTGCATTCGCACCCAAAATCCCAGGAGGAAAATGAAGGAGAAGGGACTGTGGTGTGCCCATTTCCCCCTGGAGGGTGATTTCTCACTTTCCCTGTCACCGTCTCTCTCTCTCTCTCTAGGGTAAGCACACATGCCGTATGGCAAAAACCTTAAAAAGGAAAAGAAGACATGAGACCACGTTGCCGCCCATCACAGTAGGAACAGCCAATGGATGCTTTTGGCGTTTGATGGCTTGGGATATGGCTTTTCAAAGTGGTGTCCACCACAACCAATTAGGCACTAACAACAATTTACCTGATCATTTCCCATGTGAGACACAGAGCTTGGGCTTGCACCCTGCTCTGTCTGCATCCAAATCCAATCTGAAGCTTATTGTTAACTGCCTCCGTGGTGGCAGGTGACCTGCCCAAGCCCTGGAGCAGGGCCCAGATGCCAGATCTTCATGTTCACGTGTGGTACGCCTCCATTGCACCTCGGACA